AGGGCGCACTTCGAACGGCCAAAATATTTAACCTGCGATTAACCACTCCTCTCGTACACAAAATGATTCAAGAATCAAATACCAAGAGTCAACCTGGGGTAGACTGAGTACATATTGTACCCGAACGCTATCGCCTGCCGTCCTACGTGGATGCGGATACTCTGCTTTTCCTCTGTGTATATGCCCTCGTGTATATAACGATGGTATAATGGCTGACGCACACCGTTCAGCCGTTCAAAAGTCTCGCAACAGAATGCTCTATTTGTCTTGAGGTTGGAAGCAGTGTTGGATAACAGGTTTATTTAAATAATTTAAATGATACGAAAAATTCCTGAGATATTAGCGTGCCAATAATTGCTTCGTGAGAATACACGTTTAATTGAATGCTAAATATCCTTTAAAGATTAAGGGAATAACCTTAAGAAGGTTACTCTGAAGATGTATTATTATATCTGATAAATATTTATAAATCTACGGAAAAAGAAAGAATTTCTATTTTTTTTATTATAATGAGAAATGTATACCTAAAGTGTAAAGTTATTACTTTTGTATAACATGACGAATGTACTATGTTAAAGGAGTTAGAATTAAAAAAATCTCAGGACAAATATATTATATTTGTTTCAAAAGTAGAGTAGAAAGTAATAAGAAGAGATGTGTTTCCGATATCGTCATCTAATCAGCGACACACTTCTAATTCTTTGAAGTTAATCTACACTCATCTAGGGTTCATGAAACTCCGGCTATTCAAGATATTCACTGATTAATTTTTATCGATTATCGCTGGAATTGAATTGAAGTGACTGAAGGCACTGTACATGTAAGAATTGTTAAATTAAATATTAAATTAAATTAGAAATTAAACTGAACAAGTAAAAAATAATACATAAAGAAATAGAAAGTTCGAAAGGAGAAGATAGGAAAATCACAATGAAAATGAAAAAGGGAAGAAAGCAAGATTATCAAGAAAACATGTAAATAATGGGAAAAAATCGTATATAAAAAAAATATGTATGAAAAATACAGTGCCATTCCCAGAAATTTTTAGAAATAAAAAAGAAACGAATAATAAAAATTCGAACAAACAACGAGATCAAATAATGAAAATATGTGTACCAGGGGAAAGCAAAATATATAAACAAAAATTCTGAAAAGAACGAACAAAACCGGAAGAAAACCAGTTAACCAGTTTAAACGCAAGTACGCGGGAAAAGGCAATAAAAATATCTATGTATGTACCAAGTACTCGGAAAGAAAAAAAAAAAAATAGGAAATATAAACGATATAGAATAAATCCTACAAAAGAAAAAACAACCAAAACAGTCAGTCTCTAAAAACATCCAAGCACAAAAAAGGAAAAAAAAAAAAGAAAAAAACCATGTACCAGAGAATACACCAGAGAAGATAACGAAACAAGAAAGAATCCGGTGAAAAACGGGAAAGGAAAAAGCGGTGTAAAACAGAACTAGCAAAACGGGACAGGCCAGGAATGAAACGTCGCGAAAATGAACGAACGAAAGTGAAGTGGAAAAGCAAGACAGAGATGGAGAAAACAGGTGGAATCAAAACTGCAAGTGCCAATGAATGCACACATATCGCTTCTTTTGATTCTGTTTTCACATACATACATACGTTTACTCGTACGTATGCATACGTAATGTATATTACATATTTTCTCTACATACATGAACATACTAATACTCATAGTGTCACTCGAAAGTTTAAAGTTTAAACCATGTTAGAATTATTGAAAGAAAATAATGAATTCGATGAATATAAATACTATTTCATTGACGTTATGATGTTAATAAGTTTGACCAATGCATTAATATTATGATACATTGAAACTGTTAATGAAACTAATCTAATTGTACTTTTATAGAAATAAAAGTTATAATA